TTTTCACATTTCCATTAAAACAGAATTTAAAAAACCCCATGAGAATCAAACAGTTTCTCAAATAAACCAGTTACCGCCCTACTGTTTTTAAAATTAAGCTAACAATGTAACCCCCTCTAGGACTATTCTCAAGTTAATTCAGCCCTACAGAAACATACACCAAAAAAATGTAAACATCAATTATAAGCTTTAAACTGATAGATAAAATTTGCTGTAATGTTGGCTGCACTTCACATAAGAAACTGACTTTTCACAACACTCATCATATTTTAACGTCTCAAATATTTAAGTTATGTAACAGTAAAATGCAGTGGAATTGGGTTTTTCTCAGTTCACGCCAAAGATGCCAAATATTTTTCATATGATATCTTCACCGAAAAATCCATTTTCCTGCAAACAGAGTTTCCTGGAAAGATGGACCTCCACAGAGAAAAGAAGAAAAAGCTGAAAAATATAGGCTGGTTTTGGTGATTTTTTAACTCCCCTTCCCCAAAATACTACATTTTGAGGCAAGTTTTCAGTAGGAAGGGAGAGAATTTTTTGTCTTTGCTTTTTAACTTCTGCTTCTCTCCAGTTCAGTTAACTGATTCCCTATTCCTTGTGTGTGTCTCAGCCACCACAGGCCCAGTGCTGAAGGTTCCAGTACAGCCCCAGCACCGTGTGCTGGTGGAGACCTCTTTGTTTTTAGAGGCTGGAATAGACCGTGTCTGAAAACTGCCAGACAATATGGTCAACTTCCCCCATCATTAAAAAACCAGCAAGTAGACATTTTTAATTCACTGCTTTTGGTAGTACTGCTCTTTAATGTGTTTTAGTACTACACCAGAACATAAAAACTGCTACCTTTAAACAGGACATAAAAGTTACCCGCAGAAACTTGTCTTTCAAAAGAACAGCAACTTAAAAGCTTTTTACATGTTGATGCAAAAGAGATCATTAAAAACTAATTTGGTAGCACCTCGCAGACATTTGTTTATGTATATAATGCATCAATGAAAAACAAGAAACTGCTTGGATATACCAGGATCATTGATTAGCAAGTGCACTGTTACAACGAATGGACTGACATTATTGTTTGAGGACAAAAGTGAACCTACTGAAATTAATTCTTTTAAAGGCTTTTTATAGAAATTGTGTTTTAAGACAATGCTACATGTTACTTGTCGCACAAGGAATTTATTGAGTTTGGGCAGACAATCATAGCTGAATTATAAGTCTAACTTTTCAAATGGGATCGTGACACCACTAGTATCCTATAAAGTTTCATTTTTATACTAAGAGCATTAACTAAAAACTTTATTTAATCCATTACAGATTAGAAAAAGTATTAGTTTTTACATCAAATTATTTTCATAATACACATATCTGCAATTACTATGCATTGAAATGACATCACATTGACAGCCTGAAACTGGTCAAACATTTAAGTGTGACAAGAGGCAAAATGTCTGAAACATCAGAGTAGTCCACCTTGTTAAAGAGTTAAAAATTGACCTTTTTTCCTGAAAAAAAGGTAAGAAAAAGAAAAAACTGCCAACCATCACCTTTAGGATAACAAATAATATTTCATCTGGTTTAGGCCTTGTGCAACTGCAAAGTTGGTTACCCACTCAAACTCCATACAAATCTTACGTATGAATTTTCTCTGTGCACTGGATTCAAGGGTTTGATGGGCTTGTATTTCCTTCAAGCTGTTTGTGCCACTGAACTACGGCAAGATGGAAAGTTAAATTTTATAGTAAGATGCTCCAGAAACTTCTAAATTGCCACCTGTTGTTCTTACAAAATCTTGACAATTACTAATGAAAGTGAATATCCAATTTTCTTCACTGCCTGGTTATAATATTTGCCGTGAAAAAAAGAGCAGCTGCAACACAGAAAGTAGGCAATCACGCAAATTCCAACAGAGGTAAACAAAACTTAAAACTAGAACCTGTTGGAGTTAACAACCACCCTCGACTTTATTTTTATATATTTGGAAAAGATTCAAAAAACCCAGAAGAATAAAATGAAAATATACAGAATACATACAGAATAGGTGCCACTAACTCACCTTAGAGCAACTGATACAAATATAAATTCAACATATACAAGGCTATTGAGGATTTTGAATACGTATTCCACATGCAACTGGATTATTTTGTCCAGTAGCATGTAATAAGTGTGGCCCTGTTGTTCTGCCTTTCCTTCTAACTAGACATTGGCAATACCAATATGTCAACTAAAACTCGTCATCCAACATCGTAGCAAAAGACAGCATTTTGGTGAACACATAAATGTAACTGAAATATGAGAATGGGTCTTTTTCAAATCATTGTCTACAGGCATTTACAATTTATCTTACAAGTTTTACGACTTACAGTCTTAGAGTATTATGTCCAGTCAAAAAATAGGACAGGTTTTTGAAGTCGTCATTTTCTGGAACAGCACCAGATAAAGAGTCAAATATTTATAAGTCAAAAAACACTTATGAAGCTAGGAGAAGAGCTAATGTATAAAGAGACAAGCAGTAAGGATACCAGGACAGCATCTGCACACCCTGCACCTTATGTACAGGCAGTAAGAAAATTCCTGATATCACAAGAGCAGAACTTCTACATCAAGTAGTCTCCCTCTCTCTTTCTGAGGTGAAGGGCACTGCATTTTTTGATTGCTGATAAACAGCCACAATTAGAAAAAAATATTCATATTCTTTATGAACCATTTGTTGTTCAAAATAAGCAAGGACAAACAGCAGGGATGGACAATGGGTAACACTGCAAGGATATGGGGAATGTAAAGCTACTGGGTTTGTGATGGTATTTGTATAATAGCCATTCAGGATGAGACTAGGACAGGAAATGCAAACAAAACCCAAGCCCTAACGAACAGGAGATAAGAGTTCTGGTCTTCATTATTATCTCTGTTAGGTCACTGTCTGATGGGCCATGGAAGAAGCCACTCGGGCATAGCCCTGAAGAGATTCAACCAGAACTTTAGAACAGATAAGAAGTGGTAAACAACATCATTTGTCTCCTGGGAAGGAACAAACTTATTTCAGGATGCCTGCAGGGACTTGTGGATATGTGCAATCACTTTTATGGAACATTCAGCAGATGTGCCAAAGATAGGGAAGGTGAATCAGGACAGAACAAGTGTCAGAAAATGGAGAGGGAGTGGCATATAAAGGAGTCATTAGTGTAAGATGCAAGACAGCAGGTTTGGTGCAGCCCCACACCTGATCGCTGCAGTCTGTCCTGTGTTAAGTCCTATTGGCAATATTTCCTTTATGACTTTGGTTTCTATTCTGCATAGGTGTGATGTGCAAGCAAACTTGAGAGTCAGTCAACATCTATAAGGAGACCTGTATCTGCAAAGACTAAGGCCTAAGCCAGTGACCAAATAAGACACCTCAGGCCTAGGCATCGATGTTGGATGAACTTAAAGCCTGTGTTAACATTTGAGTCAGTGAATGCTGGCATGCCTGTGCCAGGAGAGGGCTAGTGCACGTGTTTCACCAGCAAACTTCCAATTCTCATGAGCTGGAGAAGAAATTTATCAGGCTGTTTGTATTCTTATTCACCTGAGTGCTGTCTGCATTTATATGTGGTGCCAGTAAAGGCAATGCTTTTCCTCTGGGATTGTCTGTGTGACCAGCCACACCCTATGTATAGTGCCACCTTGGGAATGTGTGCTCAGTCTTACTACTGGCTGGACGTGCAGACAGGAGCAGTGGCAAGCACACTAAGAGAAGAAATCCCCTGTAGCTTAGAGGCCACTAAATATACATACCCTTCACAAATATGTCATGATTATCCACTGGAATTAATAAGCATGGGTCCAACCCTCATAAAACAACAGTCTTGTACTATAATACAGTTCTTCCAGAGTCTAGAAAACACACAGCTATCTTCAAGCCTTCTTTCTCCTTCAGTTCTGTGTGACATTCCCAGCCTTTGCACTAACTCATCTTTTGCCAGTCACTCAAGATTTCACATAACCTTTTGAAAGATCAAAATGCAAGAGCAACTTAACGTCAAAATTATGCATGGATGAAGGAAAATGTTTCCAGTTCACCTTTACAGCAAAACATCTGATAATTAGCAGCCAAGCAGCAAAATACACAAATATAACAGTTCTGCAAATTTTATAAATGGTGCTTTGAAAAGCTATTAGATTTAATAAGCTTGCATTTTTCTCCCTAATAAAACTTCCATTACATGACAGTCAAGACCAAAATAAGACCTCATATGAACCCCAAGAGCAGAGGAACACATTGAGTTTTTTAAACCCGTAAGCAATTTTTGTAAATTTGTTTCTCCTTTTTTAATCATGCTGAAAGTCTCAAGGGCAGTAGAAGGGCCAAATGCACTTTTGAGCACTACTGTACGTAATTTTACCTATCCAGTATTCGGTACTGATTTTATACTTCTACCTTATTCTTTCTGTGGCAAAAAAAAACTTCATTACAATTTTTAGAAAAATCAAGTATTTCCATACCTTCAGCAGTGGATATAAAAGCACATGTGATACAAACAACTAAACCACCGCTGACCTGTGTGTATTACAAATCAGATCTTCTAGACCTCACGATTATGTAAAATTGTCCCTCTCACAGGTAAACAGACTCTAGCTGCACCTTTCAGTACAGCCACATCATCAAGATTCCCACTTCATCAGGAACTTCATGACTGCAGTGACAACAGCATGTTTTCCAGATCATTAAAGATAACCCATTCATACAAGTTTTTACAGTGTTCCTACACAAAAAAAGCACAAGAAAATCCACACCTTTCAAACACTACCAGTACTGGAATTTCTCCATCTATCATAACTTATTTTATCACAAACAATAAAATTTTAAAGGTATCTATGCTGTGGGTGTTAGCAAGGGTTACTGCTACCTCACATAAAAACAGTTAAATGTTATTTTACATTAATAAACTTGGATAACAGCATATCTTGTACCATAAGTTAAAGATAAGAGCAGAAACAAAAGAAACCTCAAGTCATGTACTTACTTATTCAATGTGAGGTCAAGGATGAATTTGGAGCCAAAGGCCTCGATCTGGAAACTTGCCTGGGCCAGATGTACAGCCTGCAAACAGGAACACACAGCTGTCAAAAGATTCACTGAGATTTATATGCAACAAATGTGACTGTGAAAAACAAAGTTATGGAAAACAGGCTTATTTTAATGAATCTCATAGGCATGTGAAAACTTTTGCCCTTGTACCATATTCTGATTCAAAAGGAATCCTTTCTAGAGGATAGAGAGAAGCAAATGGTACCTGCAAAGCATGATTTCAAATACACACTCATTCCTCACAGAAAGAAAAAAGAAAAAAAAAAGTTTCACACAAATGTCTGTATTTTGCCATAACCAGATGGCTATGTAATAAAAGCATAAGTAATGTAGTGTAGTGTTCTTTTAATTGAGTTATTGCATCCATTCCCTTTAAGAGGCCTGAAATAATTAAAGCATTTGTAATATACACCTTCAAATACTAAAATCATGGCAAGGCTGGTATTACACATTATGAAAGACTCCTTCAAAGTAATCCCTTCACAATTAATGGCTTTGTACTTTGCATTGTAGCTAAACCAGTATTCAGAATACCGATGCTGCTCGACATACAACAACAAAAACAACATTAGCTTGTCTCACATAGGGAGTTAAGTTTAACTTTCAGGATATTCAGTTCTTGTCAGATGCATAAACTGTATTCTTTATTCTTCTCTATACTGTCGTAACTGTAGACAAAAACATTTAAAACACGCTTCTCTGTTTTCTAGAAAAATAAGAAGATGGTAAGAGATGATCCAGGAATTTCCTTTGAAGACACTGTTCCAGCAGGGTTGAAGAGATTAGATCTGAATTTCATAGAATCTCTTTCTTGATAATGTTCTAATCAAATCATGTCCACTTACACACTAATTTGATACAGCATTAATAATTACACAAAGTTGGAATATTATGACTAAGCCCTTTAATCAAAAGACAAAAAGATACTATTTTTATTAATTTCAGGTATGTCACAGAAACTATATCAAGTTCTAGCTAGTTTATGGCATAACTTAAATTGTAGGCCAATAAGGCCTACAACTTTGTTCTCCTTTGGAAATTTTTCCACAAAGGATAAGCTCTTCATGTTGCTCTTCCATTCTTGCACTACACGGAGCAGCACTGATTTTCATCTTATTTCTCAGCAAAGTTATCCATCATCTTTCAGTAAATTCTTCAATATAATTTAAAAAAAATTTCTAAAAGTTGCTGTTGTAACTAAAACCAGCTGTGATGTTTCCTCTACTATTTGATCATTCTTTGCCCCCAGAATTATCATTTCCCTTTCAACAGGGTCACACAGAGCTTTGTTGTCAAGCTTCTTTTAAAAAGAAGTTGTGTAGTTACAAAATATTTTAAATACCTTTAATATCATTAAATAATCTCTTAACTAAAGCCAAAACCAGCATCAAGCTTTCTCTCCATTACATTTTTTGGTAAATGTATATTTTTGTCTCACCAGTTCACCAATTTGCTAACACTGGCCTGACAAACTGAGTTTAAGTATTAAGACAAACCAGTGGCATAATCAAGAGAGAATCTGCAAGATGAGAGCTAGCATATGCATTAAAAAAACCCAAAAAAACCCTCCAAAACCACACACTCAGAAAATAAAGAAAGAAAAAGCAGAGAATCTCAGATTAAACGCATGCCTAGTAGGAGAGGCTTTTAAGCCCCAGCTCCATTTTTTTTTTTCAGAGTGAAATCAAGGAACAATTGTCACAAGGAGCTTTCCAAGAACCTGTTCATGACAAAAACCTCATTATATTTCCAACATGCACAGGTGCTAATTTAATTTTTTTTAAAAAGCATGAAAATTTGTTGCAGGAAGAGGGTTGTAATTAGTTTTATGCCATAAAGATTCCACTTTGGAGTTACAGGAGATACTGCTTTGAGTCCCCTCTACATATAATATTTACCTAAAATGATGTGTCTTCATACCACAAACAAGACTTCAGTGACAACTATCTGGAAAATTTTAAAAAGCATGTACTATTCCATTAAGATCATTCTGACACATGATAAATCCCTCCATAGGCATCTGACTGTTCTTAGGGACAGCTAGATGGATGACTAGTCTGATCCCCTATAGCTTTTCTATTGTTCAGTCAAGCCCATTTGATGATACCTGTGTATCACCCTTTACGTTTCTAAGCCATCAACCATGTATTCTTTATCTTTCTGCCGTTTTAAAGTATTAAAAATAATTTGTATTCTCGGTTTGCAATATTATAAAAAAACTTCATCTTGTAGAATTAGATATAACAGCACTGCTATTTCTGAAAACAACTACTTCTGTACATGAAAACACTACTTGCTATCTCTTGCTGTGACTCACAACAGATGTAGCCTGTACACACAAGCAATTGCTGCGAAGCAGCTGACACTAATTTGATGCCCTGCAGTAGGGCATGTTCTCCACCAAAGTCAGCTCAAACCATTGGTTACAAAAAGAACACTGGATTTTAAATCCCTGCAGTTTAGCAAAGACACTGTTTTGAATTCAGGTGAATGTGATACACCACAGCTGCAGTAAAATACAGATTTTGTTAAGCCAGTTTAACAATAGATAACCAACCATGAAAGGCATAAACCAGAAATCAGGTGAAGGTAATGAGAGTAAAGTTTTTAATCCTGAAACTGAACATTTTCCTGCAACAAGTTTACACAGAAAGCTACCAGTGAGTTATCACCACGTGTTTTAGGCATTACAACCATCAAGTACTGTACCAAAATGGGAGGAAGTATTTCAAAAAAGTATCTGTGTGAATCTGTTTTACAGCTTACAATGTCACTGTATTCTCTCCTCAGCTACTGTGTAATACAATGCCCAAAGTAAAATTTGAAATATGGTGTTCTTCTCATTGGCATAGAAATACAAATTCAAACAAGAATATAATGTAGATCAGCATATGTTTTGAAGAACATATATATTTCACAGGAAAAATATTAAACATCACCTTCTTGTACCACTTGCACACATGTATATGCTCACACCTGCATGAGTATTTGCTCACATAAACAGGAGACAAAGTTCCTTTGTCCATGTTTGCCTATCATCCAAAAACCTCTGCAGAGGTTCCTGCTTTGACAGATATAACCTACTTCAATGGCAAAGCTAAAAAATTATATAAAGTTTTTCTGCAGCAAAAATACTCATGATGTATAGAGAAGTGGGTTGAAGGAGGGTCTGAGTCTTTCAAATTCTACCTGCCCCCATTCCCAAATTTTACTGAGGAAAAAAAAAAGTCTTCTTTTCACTGTTCTGGCAGTTCAGATTACTAGCGTAGTCACTGTAATAAGAGATTCCTCATACTAGGGACATTCTAAGAGTGCTGTAGCTGCTTGTGCAAAGAGCAGCTCTCAGGGTTTTTTCCAAGCTAAAAATCCATATACATAAAGAACTCCAGTTTCTTTCAAATCAGTCATTAGCTTACAGTAGGTTTCAAGATGGAGGTGGACAGGCTGGAACTGGAATCTCAGTTCTACTGATCTATGTCACAACTTGATTGTTTTCATTATTGCATTTAGCCATCATTTGTCCATAATTCATTTTTTCCAGACTTCCAGGAATTTTACAATCAAAACTAAAGTACTATATGGTTTTACTTTCTTCACAGTAAAACTATGCCAAATGCAATGTGTTATCCCTTCAAAAATATGAAGTTCTGTCACAAGTCTTTAAACAAAAGTAGCAGCATTATTTAACAGACTGATGGTACCTGTGGGTCTTTTATTATATTCATAAAGGACAAGCTCACTGCTTTTAGAAATTATTTTTGCATACAGTTCTGCTGACTAAAATAATGGCCAAAAGCCATCTCTCTGAGTGCAGAAGCTGAGCAAGGGGTTTCATCAGTCTCATTTTAGAAGTAGAAATTTAAGTCAGATTTAAGTGGATTTTACACCATTAAAACATTTTTTGCTCTAGACCTTCATCCTGCTAATAGCACAAATGCTGTCACAAATGAACATGACTTACTAAATATTAGTTCCTTATCCTTATTTTAGCTTGTTTGCCCATCCTTGACTTCATACAGAAACCATCCTTCTTTTAGTGTTTGATTAACCTCTACTATGTGGCACATATACCAAGACAACCTTCCACTATTCCTTGGAAATACAGCATTTCATATTGAAACAGCATACATAAATGTCACAGCAGCATATGAAAACTCACACTTAAAACATACAGCATTTCAGAAAACTTCCTGTTAATTATTTGTTTCTGGTCTTTAACGACTAACAACAGAGGAGTTAGTTTGATGCACTTGAACTCCAAGCCTGGAAGACTGTTCTTTGAAAGAATGGTTGTCTGGCATGTGAATAAAGACCCAGCCCTGTTTCTGGAAACAATCCTACTGTTGTGCTTATAATCCCAGGGGCCAGAACTCACTATTCTCTCCCAACATGACAGTACCTAGATACCCATCTGCAGTGACACTGGCCTCCAAAACCATATCGCTCTTGAAGTTTTGTTCATAAGACTCTACAAAATAGTACATCCATTGCAGTACCCAGCTTCCCACAAATGCTAGAAAACCTAAAAACTTAATTTATTTTTATTTCAGATCAAGGCATAACAAGTACAAGTGTTGTGCTACCTAACACTTAGGAACCAAAACCTTTTATAGGTTATTGTGTGAAGCTTATGAGAGGACCCAGAAATACATTTTTAAAAAAAAAGCATTTAAAAAGTTGTGGAAATATCATGACCCACATTTCAACTAGGAAACAAAGATCTAGATCTACTCAGGGAGAAACTGGCATAAGGAAAATCTTCTATGCCCAGAAACCAAAGATAGGAAGACCAATTACACCCTCCTGTTAGTCAGTAACCACTGAAGACGCAGAGTCCAGATAAGCCTTTTGCATTAATATAAATTCAATATGAAATAGAAAAAAATACGAAGTACACACAATCATCCACTTACAAGAGAGCAAACTGAAGCTGCACCACAGAAAATTCTGAAAGAAAAAAGCAAAGCCAGCTGAAATACTACAAAGATTCTCCAATAGTCTTATACACATAAGCCACATGAATTTCATTCATTATTTTGATCAGTTTTCTTTACGTGGGGATTATAAGTGAAGACCTGGCCTAAAATAGGCAAGTAAAGGGAAGGCTATAACTAGCACAGAGGTTTTTTATTTGGATTTTAGTAAAAGTTCATGATGCCACCTCTTGAGAGTTTACTAATCATGACCTTTCATCTTTTACAAAAGACACCTGATTTTTCTTAAATACCACCTCCTTTGACATGGCTGTGATACAGTTGTTTTCCTTTCATCTTAAGGATGCTTTCCCAGCCAATTTTTATATGCTACATACCAAAATTACATAGAGGATTGAGACAGCACTGCATCTCAACTATTAAAGCAGGGCAGCTGGTAGGAATATTTTCTTTATTTAAATGACAAACAGCTGAGCTGACCAGAAGCACCTGGAGTTTTCACCCCATGAAAAATAGACCTAAATAAATATAATTTTGGGGGGAGGAAAGTGGAACTGTTTTCACAGTCAAAAGTACTCTAGCTTATTTTTTCCCCAGTCTTTAGAGCCTGCAAAACAGTTTTCTTAACGCCTCTCTCCTCCCCAAAATTACACTAAGAGCTTAGAATTATGCATGAAGACATTGCTTCTTTACAGCTTCTGAAAATTTATGGTTCAGAAAAACTGTCCACCGGATAGAGTCTTCTTTCATATGTACCTAGTTCAAGCTATTTTCCACTCAAAATTTGCTTAGGTTGCCCTGGGCTGTTTCTCCAGTAATCCTATTATCGTTAGACCACACCTTGTGCTGCAGGATTTTTCGCTCTGCTGCCACCATAAGGACTTGCTCCTAGCCTTTTGTGACAAGTTGTGCCCCCTAAAAATCTTGTGTATGTAGCCTGTGAAAACGAACCAAAGCAGTCATCTGGTTCAATAAAGAGTTTACCAGTTCATTCAAAACACTACCTTCATCTGCAGATGTTTAAAAAGACAGAACACAGATGACTCAGACCTCTTCAGCAAGTTTAAGGATTTCTGTGAGCTTCTTCAGTCTGTTTTTATAAATAGATGCTCATTTTTGAGCATTTTGCACTAAAAATAACTTCAGAAGAACTCAAAACCAGCTAGCCTTAATTTGACTATGAGGAAACAGGTATACAGATTTTAGAGTCTTCAAGCATCAAGTATTTAAAATCTATTTTTTTTAGAACATAAAGCAAAAACTGAATATACACTAGAACTCTGTCCCCCTTGGAGATAGATCATTTCACCAAAACTATGGTGAACATTTCTTTCTTTCAACTGTGATAAGAAGCTTCTTCCAAGAAGAAGGAATGAAAGAGGGTCTACCAACATTTTTGATCATGTACACCTCTTCAACATGATGATGTTTCACCAAAAGGGGATAGAGAGAATCAGTGCTAAGAAAGTAACTTATTTAAATTTTTGATTCTCTGGTACACTGTTTTCTCCTCCAGTCTTTCCTTTCTACCAACATTTCATGAAGACGGTTGCAGACCCTTACTTTTAGGATGTGACTTTTAAAAATATTTTAAATAATTTTACATAATTCTATATTCCTAGCTTTACTTCCTTTCCACATGCACACAATTTCCTCTACTCTCACTCTCTCCTCATAGTGACTCAGCATTTCTGAGGCATTCAGGCCTAATCCCATTAACTAGACATATGACTTATATTATTCTGGCCACCATAGTGAAGTTCCACAGAGAGGCATCTACTGAATAATATCCGTACTTAGGGAGTAGATCCACAAGAACAGTAAAAGAAGAAAAAATGGTATTTTTCCCCCTCAACTGTCCACTGTATCCATATATCAGGCCATCATATCTGTCTTTACTTTTTTCCCATGCTAAAAAAAAAAAAGAAAGAAAAAAATCAATCCTAAATAGACCTTTACCTAACTATAAAGGTATTTTAGCTATTTATTACCAATGTGGAAGTAATCAAAATCTCACAAGCAGCACTTATTACAATAGAGCATCTATTTTAACTCTGAGAAAGGATAAAAGCAAGTAATAAAAAAATCCTCCCCCTAAATCAAAACCCTCGTGTATCTTTCACAATCAATTGCATTCTATTTTGTTTATGGGTTGCTTGGGTTGTTTTTGTTTTACACCTTTGGCAGACTTTCCTCTGTCCCAAATTATTGCTCCACAGAGAAGGTTATAGTAAACAGAACAAAATAACTAAAACAGAACAAAATATTTGTTATTATACTATTGGTAAAATAGATGAAAGGGCAAAGAAATTGCTTCATGCAAGGAAAGGCACAAGATGCAAGTTCGGGGTGAAGGTGTCAAGTATGATGATCTGGAAGCAAGACATGCAAAAATCCATCCAGACAATGAACATAATCCACCCTTTCCTTCTATTAAACGGATCAAAACAATAGAAATTTCATTCCAGAAGAATGAAGTCAACATAGTGTCACTCTCCATAAAGACTCAAGATTAAAGAACCCTTCTGCGGGGAAAAACTGCAGCGTTAGCGTTCCCTATGCTTAAAAGGGACACAGTGAGTAGAAAGAAGATCCACTTTACAGAATACTCAGCAGCAAGCATGCTCAAGGAAATCAATACCCATTCTGTCAGCACCGATTTCTGCAGAGCTTTACCCCAACAGGTAGATACGAGGTAGGGCATAGGAAGGATAGGCAATGGCAGCAACATTCTTGTGGGCAATGCTGGGTAAGCGAAGAGATTGGTGGATATTCTCCTCTATGGCTTCCCAACAAAAAAACACATCTAGAAACACGGAGGAAGAATTATTCCCAAAGGCAGGTCTGCAAGCACTTGTAAATTCCTTTCTTCCCACACCCATCTCCAAAGAGAGGAACAGCAAGCCCCTAGTGTTTTAAGTGTATTTTAAAAACTGGTCTCACTTTAAAGGGGTATTAGTTCTGAATGTAGTATTCTCTTAGGTATCTTGATCGTTTCCAACAATCAAATAGCTTTCCTCTGCCATCCATAACATATTGGTGTTTTTAGATGCATCCAAAGGCACATAGTGGTATCCATGTCATAATAAGCTAGGAAGAAACCCCTCTTCCTTTTAAAACCTCAAAACTATACAACTATCTCATCTTTTTTTTTCAAAGATTATTCACTGCCTCCATATTAATTCCACATCTGAAATGGCACATAATCAATATCAACAAAAGCATATATAACGCATATTAAATTCGTTGTTTAAAATTTCAAGAGAAATGCAATTTAACAGGTAGGAACTCCATTATAGCTAAGTCCTTCAGTAATACCATACACACCGATCTGCATTGCTGTCTCTTGTCTACCATGGTAATCTCTTCCTATTCAAACCATCTTTACCTTCAGTTTACCTTTTATCCTGGAGGAAGGAATTAATTTTTTAAATAAAAATTCATAAAAATAGAATGGAATCATTCTAAAGGGTACATCCTGAGTCATATAGTTTAGACACATTTACTTTGTTACCAAGTTATTCCACAAAGCCAAGGTTTATTCAATTCCACACAATTTCAGAAAAAAAAAACAACAAACAACTTACTATCTGCATCTGTACAAAATGGAATATTAGATCTTGTCATTAAAATTAAGAATGAGGGTATTATTTGACAAAAAAGGTAACACTTTACAGTGGTCTTCAGTGGCCATACACTGGCAGGAAACTAATATTGCATTTATTAGGTAGTGCATGGTACACCCAAAGCTAAGTAACTCATGCTGCAAGTTCAGGATTCTAAAGAAGCTCCCTGTGCAGGCATTTCTGCAGCCTAGAGCTATTTGGGAAGAAGCATTTTGTTGATGATGGTATACCAGAAGTGAAAACACCAGAATCTGTGCTGATCAGACAAGTCAAATTTGCATAATTCCCATTCGTTTTATCTACAGTTCAGCTTCTGAACCATCCGGCAATTGAAAATAATTATTTTTATGTTAACACAAGGGAAATTACACTCTTGCTTTAATTACATGTCCTCCTTTAATTCCTAAAAATGGTGGTAAGGACCACCACTAAGTCTCGAAGATCTACAGACTTAAACACACACAGTTCCACACCACACATCACTGTTTTGAAAATTCTGCAGATGAGCCTCTTTTTACTCTACCTTGTCATGTTTCTGCTGGTGCCTTGCCCTAGTATCGAGGATATGGTAAGGGGTCTCAGAGTCTTTGTTGATGTAATAGATTAGTCTTGAAGGCAGTGTGATTTCTTTCTGTATTGCATTGCTGTAGCTGTTATTTTTACTGTTACTGCTGTTACTCTGTTGAAATGTATTCTCTTCATCTGCCAGTTCTCCCTCTATACCGCTTGCTGTTTCATTCCAATGCAGGCCTGGGGAAGAAAGATATGCCAGCCATAATTTAGATGGCAGAATGTGTTTATTTCCATTGAAAAGCTACATATTTGCTTGCAGTTTTCTAACATTTTACTAATCACTCAAGCAAACAGAAAGATAGCTTACTCATTGAGCTAGATCCGATTCATTTTTCACATATTAAATAAATAATGTTCTTTCTGAAACTATTTTATTGCATGTATATTATCATATGCATACACAGATTATAAATATTTTAATGCCTCCCAACCTCCAAAAAAACCTTAATGGATATGTAGTTAAGCCCTACACCTTTTTTGACAGCTAAATTCTCTCACTAAAAAAAAAAAAAATCTACAAAAGGCTAAGAATACTCCCCATGTTTCTACGACAAACTGAATTCAGACTCCATGTGCACTGAATGCTAAACTTCCTATTATGTAAGGTGAATTGATTTCTACTTCTTTTAACTTTGACAAGAGCTCTTTTCTTCGGAAGCAGCTTTTCAAACGAAACCCTGTATCCCTCCTCATTAAAATTTCAAGATACAGTCAATCAACACAATGTAACAATATAACAATATTACAATGTAACAGCAGTGTAATAACAGTAATAACACGACGCACAGACCGGCTACATTCACCTTCCACCTGTCATCTACCTGCAATCAAGAGCAAATAAACAACAAAGCAACACAAGAAAATCCGATCCCGAACTGACAAATTAGCAGATCCCCGTCCACACGCGCCGTGACACGCACAAAGCCCACCCCAGCTTTTTGTGTCGCATCCCTCAGCGGCGGCTGTCCACGCACAGCATCCCTGCCCAACACACTGCAGCACCGGCACCGCACGTATCTCCCTTTCGTGCAAGCAAACCAAGGGAATATTAGCCGAGCCCCGGGTTTACACACGCCGACAGACACGTACACTAAGCTGGAAGCGGGGAGGGATGAAAGGATGGTTGAGGGTAAATGGATGTTGCCAGGGTTTATGGCGGGGGACGGGGGCCCGCAGACTCCTCACGCACACACACACACACAGATACAACCCCACCATACCCACCGGCGGCCGCCGCAGCCGCGTGGGCCCGGGGACAGGAGGAGCCATGGAGGAGCAGGAGCAGCGAGACGAGGCGGCCGAGGAGCGGCAGGAGCGCGGGGCGGCAGCGGCCACCGCAGCCAGGCTGCCGCAGGGAGATGCTGCCGGGTGGCTTCATGGCTCATAGCGCCCCGGGGCGGGGGGGCAGCGCGGCACAGCCCTCACGGCCGGCGGGCTGTGCCCGGGGGACGCGGGCGGAGCGGGGCGGGCGGGTCCCCGCGGCGGCACCGCCCGTCCGGCTCCTGCCACCGCCGCCGCCGCCGCCGTGAGGGACAACGCCGGCACCTCAGCGCGGGGGCGGGCGGGCGGCGGAGCGCGCGCACCTTCCGCGCCCGCCTCCGGCCCCGCGGCCCCGCGCACGCGCGCACGGGGCCGGGCGGGGCCGCGCGGCCGCCGCTGTCCGATGTGCTGCCGACGGGACCGCCGGGACCGCGCACCGGGATGGGATGGGATGGGATAGGGCGGGGCGGGGCGCGCCTCGCCCGTCACGGGGCCCGCCGAGAAGCCGGGTGGTGCCGCCCGCCCGCCCGCCCGCGGGGTGACCGCCGCCAGCTGCGCGCACAAGCCGCTCCCGGCCGTGGGGTCCCGCGGGTGCGCCTGGACGGGCTGGACCGGCAGCCAAGAGCGGGTCCCTGACTCCCCGGGCGGTAGCGCTGGGGCACCCGCCCCCGCGGCGTGCACAGCTGCGAACAGCCCGGCTTGGGAATTATTTTAAAGAGCTTTAGCGCAGAGTGAAGTTACTTTGAAATCCGGCAGCCCTGAGGAAAGTTGGGAGGAGGGTCCGGAGACGTGAAACAGTGGCGGGGTCAGCTTGTTCTTCCGAGAGCAGGGGCAGGCGGGTCGCCTCGCCTCGGGTGGTTCTGCAAGTGAGTCATTTCACAGCTGGCAGTCCCCAGCTGCTGCAGAGGGAGGCAAGGGACCCTTCCCAGGAACAGCTCCTGCTCCAAGCGTTTTGTGGACCTCCTGGCTGCCCTCCGCTCCCTCCCAACGTCTCCAGCTCATAGTTTGCATCCCACCCTCTCACTTCTTCAGTCCCTGTGATCCCACTCATCCTTACGGACTGCAGCCAACCTGCAATTAAGTGGGTGTGGAGGTGAGAACCAAATGTTACCAAAAAACCTGTGCGTATATTGACAAAGAAAATGGACAAGTGTACAATAAACAAAGAGAAGGACTGCAGTGAGGTGCATAGTCAGATTGTGACCTGGTGTAAATCCGCTCTGGCCTGCTGTGTTCAGCAGCAGACAGCCTGGACCATGAACAGAAGGATTAGTGCATTTCTGTGCAGTGAATAGTACCTCTCATACTTCAGTCCAGCCTGCCTGGGGTGAACCACCAGTATGAAGAATAGTTGCAAAGATAAAAATAACTTCAAAGAGATATGAGAAGAGGAATCTGCTGCTTTGTATTCATTCCATGACTTAAGGAATCAGAAAACCAGAGTTCAGAGACAAGTTTAGATATGGAGTTCTTAGCAAACATTTTGCCCAGCAGACTTCTAATATCCAAGAATAGATATGTTTCATTTTGGTGCAAGTCTTACTGCTGAGGAAATAAAGATGTTTCTCCTTTTTTTCTTTTTTTCTGGATATTGGTTTGTATTTTTATTCTTTTTAATCTGAGTGGATTAAATCCACATGGATTTCCAGAAAGATAGGAATTTTCTCTGTTTCGCATAATTTTCTCTACATTCCAGCCTGAATTAATTATAATTTTTAATTTAAAAAATATAAGCAGATCAAAACTACAATGCAGCCTACTTCATAGCAGTAGCATTATTCCTTTTTTAAAAAGTTAATTTTGAGTTCTCATGCTGGGCAAATAGATGCTGCTTCTGGAAACTCGAATCTAGGTGTGTGACAGCAGACAAACACATAGAAGGGACAGACCCATGGGATGGCCAGGTGTGAAAAAGAACAGAAAACATCCCTTAGGATTTCTCTGGGTCTAGGGAGAAAGCTGTATCAATTTTCTATATAAAATGGTCTCCCTTAAGACTCATGTTCCCAGACATTTTCCATGCAGCCCACCCAGGCCAGCTGTTTCTCATCATTACATATCACTAGAACATTTCAACCAACAGCATCTCCTGTTTCTTCCCATAAACATATAAACAGATCAAAGGATCAGTTATGTCGGTGCAGCTAGATCTAAAATAAATAAATACAATTAAAAAATATTTTAGAGCAAAGAACAAAAGAGTAGAATGACCATGCAGTTAAGAAAAGAAATCCAGAAACTAACTTTCACTACACGTGAAAAAAAAAACCAGACTAGCAACGATGAATGCTAGAAACATCTGCTCTGAAAAAATCAGTTCTTAATTTTGGTGGCCAGATTTTGAGAGGAGGAAATAATGATTGCCTCTTTCTACCAAGGTTGTCTAGGGTAAAGATTTTCTAAAGTTCTTTTAACTCACATACAAGCCTGCAGCAGAAGTAATAACCTGAATAAACGTATAAAGGAGACATGCCTAGTCTCTCAGGCCCTGGGCATGTAGTTCAAGCTGTGCCTCATAAACCTGCTACAAACCTTCAGATGGTCATATGCAGTTCACCGAGCATAATCAGCTCAAGATGAAGTACCCCACTAGGAATGACAGCTGCTTTTTGTGTTGTTTTTTTTTCTTCTTTAAACTTGCTTTCAAGTTTGAAAGCCACTATGAAATAATCCCAGATAGATTGCACTGCAGATGTCTGAAAACAAAATACCAGAAGCGTGGATTATCATAGCAGCACTAGCATAGTCAGTCACTTTGGTAATAACAGGTGACACCAATTGGGCAGCTCCTGACTGACCTCGGGCGATGAAGGGTACAAATGCCATGGGGAGCAGGCAGCACAAACAGCACAGCAGAAGCAGCCATTGCTGAACTCTGCTCTCAAGGAAGGGGAGTAGTCACGTCTGATTATGATTTATTCATATTACTGTAGCACTAGCAGGCTCAGCCGTAGGCCAATGACCTGCTGTGCTCTGTGCTGTACAGACACAGGACAAAATTACAGATCTCTGTTAAGAGAAATTTCCTTTTTATTTGCAGTAGCAAATAACCCCACCAGTGCTGTAAATAACAGAAGAAATCTAAGAGCTCTAGGAGGGGTACCAAGCACACTGCAAGTCTAAAAAGCTGTAATTACATAGGGGACATTTAACAATAGACCCTCATTAGCTGGCACATAACTAATCCACATAACCTGTAATCTGTGGTATCCATTCTCTGTTTCTCAACAGGAGGTTAACAGCTAAGACAAAGCTGAACTGAAACTTCATGTCACCCATATTTCTTTACTTTATATCATATGCAGTGTAAGTATGGATAATTTATACTTAGAAGAAAACCTGATAATTGCAATGAACAATGCATTCCATTAGTATAACTTCTTTTCTTAATCATACATGTTTGAATACTCACCGATTCGTCATGTTCAGCTATTCTCAAAGGGTTCCTCAGTCAGTAGAGTGAGAGAATATTGCTATTTGAAGGGCTGTTAGAATACTTTTTTTAATTATAAGACCATCTCTTGCTACACATTCCACCACCTAACAATGCAGCAGCAAACCAGTATTTAGTCATAAAAATAAGTACTTTTTGTTTATTCTGTTTCTTTTAGGTTCTTTAAATACTTTTTAGCAACTGAGGGGGTGTGTGGGGAAGAAGCAGTAAGTGATACAGTAATGTGAAAAATGCAAAAGACAGGTTCAGGAAACAGAGCATTGACTCTAGATTCTTCAGAAGCAAGCATCACTTTTCAAACTGTAGATCTAACAGAACTGGGTTTCCATTAGTCTTCACTTTTTCATCTTCTTTATTTCAACCTAATGCACTTCAGGAGGAAGAGCTTTCTCCTTATTTACTTTGTAGTTCAACAGAGCCCTAAACCCAGTTTTCCCCTCCATGTACAATAGTGTAACTATGTACAATATTGGGCATAACACTATTTTAAACACAGTAATACTATAAAATAAAATACAGTAAAAATTCCAGTTTTCTCTCAGAACTGTCACTCATTTACCAAGATCTGTGTACACATCATCATTAATAACTCTGTTCACCAGAGGTACTGCCCAAATGAACTCTTTTGCGAGTACTCTATGTTCCACTTCAGGGTAGATTATACACAGTAATTAGGATATACTTGCCAGCCCCCTCCCCTCACCACTCTGAAATGTTAAGGTTGAGGTCAAGTAAAGAAAGTAAGATTATAAAAAGAATATATCTTACCAATGTTCAGCAGGAAAGGAAAGGGAACACAGCTGGGCTGCTAATAGCAAATGGGTCAGAGGGTTCATTAATTGCAGTTCAAGTTGTATCCAGGTGCAACTCGGCATCAATCATTTAATTCTGATTGCAGGAAAAATTATTTTGAACAAACCATGACAGACTAATTTCACAATTAATTCACCGTGTCCTCTTGTATAATTAACTAAGCATTCATAGGCAAAAGATTTTACAAGCTGTTTAGTAGGATTCCTCAGCAGTGTTTAAACAATCACATATAGGTATTTTCATACAAGATACTGCAGTGAGGGTTTATGCCATCAATGGAAATATTACGATACTAAAAGCTCCAATTATTCACCATATTGTCCAAATTATTACTGAGAGATAGAGCAGCAGCAGAAACATGCTGGTCAGTGAGGTTACCTAGAACACAATTGTCAACTGTTCTGATACAGATATACTTAGCAAGTAAAACACATGCCACCAGTAGGAAAAAAAAAATGCTGCTCTTCTGATAAGCAAGCACTTTTAACTGTGGCTGTGACAGCAGCCTCCTTCTTGCTAGCTTGTTTCACTTTTGTGAGGTAAAATGTAAAAGCAATGTCAGGAAAGTAAGATGGGGTGGCAGGGGAAATCTTACTTAAATATGTACTTTGATTTTTATATCCTTCAAAATAAATACATTGAGTTCATATCCCAAAGACTTGCCACAGCTGATCAAACATTTCCGAGTGGTAGGTTCTAAAAAAGCTAGATTGCAGCTATTCCAGAGCACCTTTGGAAAGGGAAGGGAGGATATCGTCATTCATTCTCTGACACGCTTGTACAGGGCAGAAGAGGACTGCAAGAGATCTCTGGAGTCATCAAGTGCAGCCCCCAGCTACCACTGGCTATCCATTGTACAGTCCATACA